TACACATCCCATCTACAAAATATATGCATTTTTTTCATAAAACCTTAGACGTAAACGGAGGCAGTAATACGCCTTAATTAAAGTTATCCTTTACTACAAACGCAGCTTTTTGGTTACAATGCTGGTATAATGATGTGGTACAATCCAGCTACTGATGCAGATAAAGTAGGACGCAATTTGAAATTCGGCGTTTCTACAAGCTAAGAAGTTGTGCGCTTGGTTACCAACTGCTGTTTACTTTCTTACTTTATTTCCTGTATTTTTACGTTAAAGCTAACACTTCGTCCAAAGTATTCTAATGGCACCACGAGTTTCGAGAGCATGAAGCCTATTGAAAGAATGCGTTGGGCTTTGCGAATGCGATTATTCTTTAACCAACCACTGTGCTGGCTGACAAGGCAGTAATTTGGTTTGTTTATTGGCATTCTACAGACAAAGTAAGAGCTTTAACATTAGAAAGCGAAACTCTCTGCTTCGGATATAAATAAGGGAACATAATAACTCGTTCCTTTAGAGAAATAATGAGGTTTTCAGAATTATATTGACTGAAGAGATATTCTTTCACATCACGATTGACTCCATTTTATTTAAAGGTGCTCATAAATGTGAGTATTAAGGAAGATTCTGACATTTTCTGCACTTTGCCGTGCTTGTGAGCATTTGCAAATGTACAAGATAAGTAATTCAAAGGTTTGGCCATCCACACAGAAATTGGTGCCCGGAAACAATATTCGCGAGCCATAACTGTTGCTCGTTGATAGAAATGATAGATTGAAGACCACCTTCCCGATAAATGGGCCAAAACAAAGCACTTTTATTTTTTAAGGAATTTAGTTACAGTCCATATTTCAAATTCACTACTTGATGTAGGTAAAATATACTATTATGCAGCGTCCCGAGACTCCCTGTAGACGAAAGAAGACACAATACTCGGGCAGGATATATATTCAGCGCAGAGACGATATCTGGGCTATTGGCATGGCCCGAAAGGCCAGCCCACCCAGCGAGGTACAAGGGGACTAATTCAAAGTACAAAAGTGGCGCCTCACCAATGCCGAGGGATAAACCACTATCGTATTACATGGCCTCCCTCCTCTTTTGAATGTCGTCCCCGGCGCTTCCGCAGGTCAACCTTCTGCGTCAGCCATTACAACGTAGTCGGTGCTGTAAGGAAACACCCACGATCCGACCGTGCCAGCCACCAAATTAGCGCGCAACTGGGGGGATACTTGACCTCAACGTCACTGATCCCTCTTGGCGGCTTGACTGGATCCGGAGTTTCGTCCTGTTTAGGGATCTGATTCAGGACGGGGAATTGCGCCGGCCATCATGTGTATCCATAGATGGATGTAGGGACACTGGCTCAAAAGTAGATTTCGGTAAGGAAGGATGGGATTTAATACAGGTTCAGGGGGGACGGTAAGGAAAATCCGTAACGAAGCTTCCAGATGGTTCACGGCTAGTGTCGCTTCTGTTGTTAATAGCTTTTCTACAGAACACGGGACTGAGAGAGATGCCGAAGGTGGACGTCAACATCAACCCTTCTATTAGGGATCATCACCATTCTCCCCGCTCCACTAAGGATACATGCCCTTTAAGATGGGTTCGCTTCCCGCTGCCACCAGTGTAGCGTCCCGAGACCCCCTGAAGGCGAAAGAAGACATAATACTCGGGCAGAATATATGTATTCAGCATAGAGAAGGTGTCTGGGCTATTGGCATGGCCCGAAAGGCCAACCCACCCAGCGAGGTACAAGAGGGCTAATTCGAAGTCCAAAGTCGCGCCTCACCAATACCGAAGGGCAAACCACTATCGTATTACAATTAAGTTATTTACTTTGTGTATCATAAAAACATCAGAATCCCTTTTATACACAAAATAAATCATAGACTGCTTCAGTCAAACAAACCGCACGATTTGTCCATTTGACTAGGAAGCCACAAATGCTAGGCTAAGGCACCAAAGAATTGAATTAGTAATTAAAATACTAAAACAGCAACCGTGAAAGCCACTCCTACTTTTCTACTTCTTAGATAAGAATAAATTATGCCACAGAGGTCTAAACTGGAATGGAAGCTGAATATTCATTGGCAAATGGCCATTGTTCCTAGAAAAACTAGATTCAAAATAAAACAGTACAATGGGAAGTATAAAGATTGTTTGAGAAAAGACACATCAATAAAAAAGTGCCTAAATTTAGCAGTAGCAACGAAGTAACTTATTTGTCTAAACAGCTTGAGCCTTTTTCTTAAATTGGTTTGAAAATGGCTACCAAAACAGTTTTTGAATAATTGGCTTTTTTAATAAAAATCCCAGAAAATATAACTTTCTCCCTTTATTTAGCGATGTAACTGAAGTCACACAATGGAAACGTAGTAGGACCCAATGGAGCCTTGGAAAAATGTTTAGATCAGCTGAAAAAGCTGTCTACCAGATTCACAACAACGAAATTTTTGATCGTATCCAAGGCGAAAGTTAGGCTACTGAATAATACACCAAGGCAGGTGTATCAACTGCTCTTGATGCATTTGTTTAGAAACGAAGCTGCCGAAATTTGTGAGCACTTTAGTGAATTCGTTTGTATAGGGACTGGGATGGAAAGTACCTGTGCTTGCGTGGAATTCAAGTTTGTTCACTTATAAACTTAATATGTATTGTCCACTCTGAAAAATTTCATGCCAGGAAGCTAAAAAGTCGAACTACATCAAAGCGTACCAGCAAAAGAAAACTTTCTAACTAGAACCATAAATGTTAAGTTTACGATGAATATTTGTGACTTCCATTAGACTGGACCTTCAAATATCTCGAATCACGTTATAAGCTCCATTACTATCATTCAAACATTTCCTGTTATTTCGCTGTGCAATGTTTTCGAGAAGCCTTTTCAAATAACAGTTCAAAATGAACCGTTGTCGAATTTATCCGAGCAAAAATGCATCATTCGACTTCTGTTTTATTGGAAATACATGAGACAGAAGGGCCTAATCGAATGATTAATAAAATTTATGGCTAAAAACACGGCCGAGAGATGATATATTGACCCGATCTTGTGGTATAAATATGCTTTAAACGATAGTAATCGCAAAATATGCCTCGAAGTAAACTTCGACCTGAATTAATTGGTTGTGTGCCAAGTCCTTAATGAACCAGATGTCGCAGTGAGCCAATCATATGTCTCCTTTTACGATTGTCAGTAGAGTTAACTCAAGGTGTTCCCTTGTTTCACTAATGCATTGCCAATCGTCCTTAAGGTATAAAGACGCAGACCAGAGGATAATGAAATTTGAACATTTGGGTGCTCAATTCGTGTGAACTCGATACCAAGGAGATTTACGTTATACTTACCAGCTTGAGACTTGTGGTTTGATTTTGCGAACTCAGGTAATCTCTAGACCAGCCTAGTAACCTGGAGTGGATGCTTTTAGCTATGTGACCTTTCAAAACCTTATGCTCATCTCAGCTCAAGATCAGCTTGCATGTGCTTGTAACGCCACAAATTCTTTTTAAACGGCTTTGAAGTTAGTTAAATTGCATACATGTCTTTCCAAAATAGCAAAGATTCATTTTAAGCGTTTAGTCTATCGGAATAGCTGTTACCAATTTTCCCCTAGGGTGATAAACTTGACCTCAGAATAAGAATTTCCAAAGCGATAAAAAAGTGTTTTTTTAATTAATTTTAATGATTTTAGCTCCAAAAACCGCAAGACAACTTGGCTGATGTGCCCGAAATTGTTTGCAACTATCTTGACTGCCCAATGTCTTCACATAAATAGGGGAAAATCAGGCATGCAGGAAGCCATCCACATTTTAGTAACGGTCCAACGGCATTTGTATGTTGATTTTGGCCTAAAAATTGGATTAACGAAAGGGGGATTCATATTGATGGCAAAATAAAAAAAAAGTTGCTCTTGATATCACATATACAATTTTGTAAGTATAAAATGTTCTTCTCAAATATTAGTCAATACCACATTTCAGTGATCGGGTATCTCAGTGCTTAAACACTATTTTAAGCACCATCCTTAAAAAGTGTATTTACCTGAGTGGGCTCAGTGGGATAAAGGGTAGGACCTAACGTGTTGATGCACCACCTTCAGACAGTGGTCTTAGTAATGAACTTCATGGGGACGTAGTGCGAAAGCGGAGATGCGTGGGAGCGGACTTTGGTTGACCTTTCCTGCTAAAAGAGACCTTGACCTGCATAAAGAGACTCTTCAAAAGATGATCTGAAACCAAATTGCCTTTGTATCCACAACCATGTTGCGGATGGCTGAGTAATCTCCTCCTTACACATTTCATCCATTTACCATAACAACTCGATAATAAAAAGATAAAAGCACCCGCCTGATTTTTGACACTCGATTCTAGTCAAAATTGCCAAGATAAATGCTTTAATCTATCTTCTTATCTAAAATGACAAAGTGGCCGCTTTCACACATTCTCCCCTGCAATTCTACAGGTAGATTTTAATCAATATGACACATAAGACCGCAGGCTTTACAAATTCACTTGGGGCTATTTCCCTGAGCCCGCGAGGTAAGCTCCAAGTTAAATTTATTAAGTCGTAGGTTTACCATTATTTACCATTCAAAAATAGTAGGCTGTCACGGTACATCTGCCGCAGGGTTATAAGTTTAGGCACTTCGTAATTATGTATAAAATACACAGCAATAAAATTCAGTCAAATATGCTTTGCTGTAAATATTTATTATAAAAAAGCTTAAAATTCGTATCAAGATGTGCTCGGGAACCTAGATCCTTGATTATCAGTGAAATGAGAGGCCTCTAATGAGTTTCACAAATTTTTAGAGAACATTCCTCACATGCGTAAAATTATACCAGTCCTGTGGTCTTGAGTCTCACTCGCAAATCTCAGCTCATGTGTTGTCTCAGAGTAGAATCTTTGCTGCATCTGTCATAGCTTGAGATGAGTACTGTGCACACCAGTTGCAGATTGCGTCATAGACTGCCTGCCATGTCTGTACAACCTTCAGCCTAGCATGATGTAGGTTGATCTGCCTCTCAATGTTTGGGGTTTTTGATTTCCCAGATCCTACTATTTGGCAGATATTTTAGAGTCGTTGCTGACTCCGATCAGTCGAATGGGTAACATACTTCAGATAGTTCTTCATTGACTTTAAACCTTAATAAAGAAGCGCTGAACCAAAGGTAGAAACATTTGCTGAGCTGTAACTGCCCTTCAACAAGTCTAAATCAAGCGTTTGATAGGTTAGTTCCTAGTGAATATTTGCCAATTACGATCGTTCACCTGAATTCATGCAACTGATTCCAAATGACCCTATATTTAGTGGTTCCATCTCACACAGCACACCAGGCACGCCCTACTCGTGTGCATTTAAGTAACGATCCTTCCACGTCGTCATGTGAGACGGTTTCTATTAGCTATCAACTCCGACGAATGAGAGAAGCAGAAACCTAAGCAATGTGGTGAAACAGCGATTATACTGCATCCTCTTCAACCACCACACCTATGAGACCACCCATATTCTAAATCACTTAGTATGACCAAATTCTAGGCCAAAATATACAAGAAAACCACACACAGTGTCTTCGGAAGGCCACTTCTATCGTTTTCATTAATGTAAGAATCGAGATTTGTGTTCCATATTGTTGCGGTTGGACAAGAAATGAGTGTATTTATGAAGCTAGATTGACAAAGCATGTTTGGAAGTAAAGTGGTTAATAATTCAAAGTGCCTAAATCCGGCTCATACAGCAAAACACTTTGTTTGTTTTGCAGTCCACAACAGGTAGCCCTGTTCCTTAAAATCGAGCGAATTCGTTTGCATAAATAGTTCTTTTGCACTAAACTGTGTTCAGTTAGAGTTAATGTAGTTGTACACTTTCCCTGATGTTTAGCAATATGACTAATGCTATAGGGGAAAAGGCAAAATTTCAAGAAATGCAAAATTCATTTATCACTTACCATAATCCAACTGATACGTTGAATGATCAATCCTGATTGGCAGTGCCTTTTATTCTGAAGTGTTGAGTCGGCACATACCAGTTACTTTAATGGTGGTTTTGATTATGAAATGTAGAGATGTCATAATGCGATGCAAGTCATTAATTTCCCTTGTCGATGCGCTAGCAATGTAACAATCATCTCTTCTGAGTTAGTCAAACGTGAACGGCTATTCTGGTGCTCAGAATATGTAAGCTTTTCAAGGCTATTAATGATTATGTTGCCCTCACCTTTTCCAAATGAAGACTAGTTTCTTTAATGATTTCATGACAGATCATGTGCCACTTTCAACCACGGATGGGAGGTTCCACGTACTCTATTTGGACTGAGATCTAATATGACCGGATACAGCCCCTAAAGTGTGGGTAGCTTTAAGTCGACTGCAGACACTAACAACTCCGCCTCGCTTAGTAGACTCTGCATACATTTCCGTGTACTCTTTCGCCTTTGAATTTCTAAAATTATACCCAAATAGGTCATCAGTCAGGTAGGCACTAAAATACCGTTGCACATTTTTCATGCGCTAGTTCAGAAATCTCGACTTTAAATATTGTTATTCCCTAATAGCAACTTGATTCTTGCTCGAGTAGACATTTAAGCATCTAGGCTTACGGATTGTAGCGGTTTACACTTAATCGTGTCAACATCATTTAGTCCATACGTACTCCAATAGTAAAATTTCTTTCATGCTGATATGGCTTCCCGCAGTCGCATTTGGCCTCTAATGGCCTCAAGCACCCCAATTAGTTGTTCAAAGTGGGGACATCCAGCACGCTATTGTACTCTTACTACAGCTATCCCACGACTGTTGGGTATGTGCAGACCAACAGCTGCAAATAAACTGACCTCGCACTGGACTGAAAAAGTTTGTAGGATCTAACTTCCATTTAATTGTTGAAATTAAATGAGAATCAAATGTCAGCCATCATTTTCCTCCCACTCTAGTCAGTATCATCCAAATGGGCAATAACTGCTCCCCAAAATCTAAATCTCTTCCGTTTTTGGTGGAATGATTGTGTAAATCCAGTTGCAGCATAGAATCGGAAGAGCACCACCTAACCAAAGCACATTAATAAGGCGTTTTAGTGTGAAAGTTTAGAATGGTGTGTGATTTGTTGCCTTTATAGCAATAAATTACCACCAATAACACACAGGTAACTATTGTTCAGTAATGCAACAGAGCCTATTGCTTTACATAATAACTTATGGATTAACAACCATTAGCGTACTTTATAGTACAATTGTCACTTCTCTTTGGTATGGGAGAATAACTAGCTTCAAAGTATTTTGCGTATGGCGAAATGTTTTGAATGCAATAAATGTAGGTCACACTGCCAGCAATTGGATGAACATTCTGATTACTAGATTAGGCACCCTAACGGCTGTAGCTAAAGCAATTGGTGAATAATGCCACCGTGGCCCTCCAAGTCTTCCTCAGCATCGTAACAAGCCATAGCAGCATGAAGGACACGCAGTACCAACCCACCGAAGGATTGAAAAGCAGCTGGTATCACTCAAAAGCCATACCGTAGGGCTGATCTGCAACTTATACCAACTCAAGGGTCAGCAATATTAAACAGAAGAGCACATGACTCAAATTTCTGTGTTTTAATACCGTGTTCCAAATCTATGGCGGGCATAAACTGTCCAAGATCTGGCTATTTGCGGAGTCGTGCCACTTTCCATTCTTTTGGTAGATACATTTACAAATAAGTGGAACAAGCGACGGATCCACTTGAGGAGACTTTAAAGAAATAGATGCAAGGAAATCTATCAAATGATTTTTACATTCTCCTAAAGTGGAACATTTAATTCTCCTCTCCACATCAACGGCCCACACCTTATTGTCGTAATTCGGCTTTCAACGATGTTCACTATATTGGTTAATAATTTTGCTAATTTGTTGCATCTGCTTCTGGCCTTTGTATAGATATTTTTTACTTTGGGAACTCATCCGAGTTGTTCGATGTCACCTCATAGACTTGTACGCCCGCGATCTGAAAAGCAGGGCAAAACTTACTGGAGAGAAATAGCTGGTCAAATGAAGGAAACTGCATGGAATGCAACCGCCCATTGGAGAAAATTCGCGGTAAAATTCACATTAGAATCTCCGAGAAAATCGCAGCTCAAAGTTTCGTTTGTAGGTAATGTAGATTGTAGAAACACAATGACTACAGTGGCATTGCAGATGTCAATCTGAAAGGGAATACGTGAAGCGGCGACTTAGATAGGATAATTGCTAAGTTGGGGAAGGGAAAATAGAACCTGTTTTATCGCTTTGCTTCCACAATGCTCCAGCTTACAAAATTGGTTCTTTTGTACATGAGATTGAATGTATTGGAGCATGTGGAAAGTTTTTTACCTGCATTTTATTCTGCAATCACCAGGTCAGTTAGAGGGCTATGGATGTTATTAAAATAGATTTGTTGCTAAAGTGCTTTTGCGGTGTAGGAAGGCATCTTACACTATGCATTTTGGGAGGAAGTTTGTATTTTCTAAGGAAGGAATTTTATTTATGGTCATGCTGCTTTGTTGCATTCAGGAGATCAGATTTTACCATGCTGTGAACGAGGAAAAGGAAGTAAGAAAAATAAAGCTAGACTACTTTTCGAGCCTTGAAATCACTGCCAAGGTGCTATAGTATTTTCGACTAACAAAACTGCCATGTATGGACATGGCAGTGGACATGTCGTGGACAGACTGTAAGGCTTATTAATTGGGAGGTGCACGACGAGCGATCTGTTACATTTCTAACGAAACCCTCACGTCTTGTAGAGGGCTTAACGAAAGACCTGGAGTTACTTGTGACGTCAAACATTGTCGGGCGTTAGACAACATGCAGATTATGCAGTAATCTCTCTTTTGGAAACTTTAATTGTTTGTCTTCTCAGTACAGGGAGAAGCGATGGCCCTCTCTATGAAAAATTGTACAGTAAGTAAAGATAAGAAAATTTCCTTTATGAAATCTTCTGTCTTTGCTACCACTGTTAATGTTCCGAGTTCCCCTCTGAAATATGAATCATTAAACATGCATCCTCTCTACATGATAAATATCGTGGTGTAAAATTTGCCTGTTTACAAGGTCTGCCCAATTAAAATAAGTTTGTTCTCTCATTGGTATTGTTCGCGGTTATGCTACAAATGATCTGGTTACATAACAAACAAGAAGTTGAAGTAGTTACTTATTCTTCCTCTGATTCAACTACCCCAACCTAGCGTTGTCAAACGAGGGTCCAAATCTCTTTTTCACCAAACCTTATTTCTATTGTATGGTCTAATCACAGTCGGTTAAATTTCACTTGGTGGTCAATGAGAGCGGGGCCTGAGGTGAAACTGAGCGAAGGTCAATATGGGTATTGAGAAACTTCTAAGAAAGCTTAAACTTATCATAATCTCCTTGAAGCTGCTGGGCCATTGGCTTCTTACCGCTGGCATCCTAGTTGGTTCCCTCCGTCATCACGAGCTTATCCTATAAGGAAGATGACGCCGATGGTTGGGTGAACTCTAAAATGATCAAATCAGTTGCAAAAATTCCATCCAAATTGGAATACATCCGAAATTAGGTAGTGGTAAACTCTCCGTTAGACCAATGGACAAAAAATAAGCATATGCTAAGGCGCAACTAGTTGTTTTAATTTCCTCATGTGCCTTGAGTCTAGCCATTTTTATACCTACCTGGCTCTAAAAGGATAGGTTTTGACACGATGAAGGAAATTATGTTGTAATCGAAAGAAGTAGATCTCCAGCAAATCTTCCCAAATGCGATTACCATTCCGAAATTTCATAAATTGGCTTTTTATATACTACTGCTCGAGCAATGATCTTAGCCCATCCAGCCCCTATTCACAAGCTGTAGAAAAGTAGGTACTTCAAGATCTGCTCCATGCAGTTCGTTATGTTCTGAGCACTGAGGGGAGGTGAAAAAGTCTATTGGTTTGATTGTGAAGTACACTCAAAATATGAACTCTGTTGGATCGCTCTTTGCTGTAAAGCACAGCCCCTTTTCTCGTTCATTGATGCACTTTTGCGATTTGTTGTGTGACGCTTTGCTGCGTGTAATTTCTTTCACCCCAAATAAATGCCCACCTCCCGTTTTCTCAAACTTGTTAAAAGCATACCCTCCATAGGAAAAGTAGGTAGTCCTGGGCCTTGAGTTTACTTACCCATTTATTCCAACCACTCACGTGTTGGCATGTCATTGTGATCGAGCACATGCCCTCAGTAAATGCAAAGTAGAAGTTGGAGCTCGCCTTAATTAACCTTACATCCTGATTTCCCTAGTGGGGATTAGTTTGCTTCTCAATTGGGAGTGAAGTGTCATCTCATAGACCTGTCGATGTCTTTATTAATGATTAATATTGCTTTGTCTAAAAAATACTCGGAGCATAAAAGCTGGAAGCGGTGCCCAGTTGAACTAATTTTAGGTAATTCGAAGCTTCCATACAGGCGATGGAATAGCCAAAAGATAAAATATAAATGCCAATTCTCGCAATCCCATTGCATGAAAAAAGATCAGCATTGTAAATTTGTCTTTTTGGCAGTGCATCTGCAAAACAGAGAAAATGACTTGAATAACTGGGGGGCTATTCATAGCTATGCCTCTGAATGTACGTCTAGCAGGTGTTTTGATCAAGGCAATACCTATTGGGTGATTTGTTGAATGGGGCCATTTATCCCACAAAAAACTTTTAATGGGATTCAAGACATGATCCAGTTTGGTTTTCGAAATACTTTCTATTAAAGTAAGTTAATACTAAGGATGGTAAACTCTCTGTTTACACTTGTCTAAGACCATAGTTGTAAGATAACTATCGATTTACCGGTCCAACAATTGTCTTGCTTGATAGTAATCAAGTTCCGATCGGGGCTAGTTCATAAAATAGACAGCAACGGTGCTCTGTGGTTTT